TGGTCTAGTCTCTTAACTACAACTTTTCAATCTTTCGTCATCCTCTCTTTCAATCTTTCGTTTATTATATTTCTAATCATCATTTGTGCCACTTTAATACAACGAATCACCAACATCAATTCCGGTGAAATTGTAGGCTATGGGACGAAATGGTTTGAACGTATTTCTATTCTCTTAGAAATGAAATCCTTATTTTCTATAATTGTGCTTGTCTTATTCCTTAAAATATATTGTCAAAAACATTAGCTTACTATTTCCTTCCAGTTTTTCCATCATTCAGTTTCAGCCAGTCCCCAGAGACTCCAATAAATTTATCTTAATTTTTTTACCGTATTTGCAGCGCGAAATTTTCAGTTCATCTTAAAAAAATCATGTTTTACGAAGGGTCGGACGTAAGCATCGATCCTTGAACCACACGCGCCAACTTTTTGCGGGAGTGAGGGGGACACGCCCACTTTTCTTGTGTGAGCGATGGCTCGAGAGGAGCCGAGCGAATCGACGGGCTTGGAGTAGGCTACACCGGGCACATCACAACATCGACGTATCGTGCGGTTCACCGGCTTTGCGGCTCCCGTGACGAGGATCTAAACTTGTTTGGAATTTGGTGACGAGCGGGTGTTCACACCGGATCCCAATTGCTCCTTTTCTGTTATCATTCAGGGACCATGCGTCCCCAATGCATATATCACCATTACATCAATTGTAGCCTAGTTTCTAGATCTATATGGTATGAAGGTGATCCTGTACACTGAATGAAATACTAATTTTCTTCATGCGAATGTATCTTAGAATTAGTTGCTGAAGATCTTTTCTAGAACATTTATATAATTATAACAATTTATTTATTCTAATAAGTTATTTATTCTTAAACAGGTTGTAATTTTTATACGTGGAAATCGATACAAATAAACCTTCAGAATTAAAACGAAAAAATATAAATTAAATATATACAAGTTTTTATAAATATTTACAAGTTTATAATATAACAAATCGTATTCCATGATTCAATTTCAGCGAGTGACCAGAGATGTCCAAAAATTTTATCCTCACTTTGCAACGAAATGAATCGTGTTTTACCGCAGGCCAGCCCGGCGCTTAAGCATCGATCGCGTCCTCCGGACGACACGCCCCGAAGTTTTTACGCGAGCGAGCGAGAGGATGGCGGACACACGTGTGCTCGAGGGCGGGCGGGGAACTTCGCGGGGCGCGGCGGGCGAGGAGCGGGCTCAAACACCTGACACAATGATCGCGATGAAGCATCCTATCCTGACTTAGGCGTCTCTGTTAATAATAATAATAATAATAATAATAATAATAATAATAATAATAATAATATTGATAATGATAATAATGATAATGATAGTAATGATAATGATAATAATGATAATGATGACAATGATGATAATGATAATGATGATGATGATAATAATAATAATATTACTTTATTTCACAGAAAAAATGTCCAACGGTGAGTCTTAGTAATTAACTTACTGCTTTTCAGACTAACCACAAGATGAATACATTACGTCAGAAACATGACATCAAAATAGGATAAACGTAAGTAGAAAACATAAGAAGGCGTGAGTATAAATACATGTGGGTTAAAAATTGAAATATGATCGTATGTACAATATAATTGTAATTGTATAGCCGATAATATGAGAAAATGTAGTATAGTAATATCTTCCTTCCCATAACAAGAACTATCGCTTCATTAACGGTTTATCATTCCTCATGTGAAAATCAAACTTGAAGTTACCAATTTTTTTATAAACAAATTTGAAACGTCTCCCATTAAAAAATAAACAATACACTTGCTCTACATATTACTTGTAGCTGACGTTAAAAGAAACGTTACTAAATGTAGCTTTTGACCTCAATTTCTAAACGTCACATATTACAGAACTTACTCTCCTATACATAAAAATATTTAAGAATATTAGCACAAAATATCTGGGTTTTTAAAATTTGCCACTTCAAGGCCTGTCCTCACGATGGAATATCTCACGGCATTTCGCGTATTTGTCGGTCTTGCCGCTAGATGTCGCATGATCAGAAACAACTGCTTGATACGGGCGCGATCATGCGACACGACGGCGAAAGACGCGAAATGCCGTGAGATATTCCATCGTGAAGACAGGGCTTGAAGTGCCACGTTATATAACCTCAAGTACATATTACTGCCAATTTACATAATTTTTCTACCGCTCAGTTAGAATCACTAGTTTTCAATCTTGGGACTACCTAATATCGAGACACGTAAGGGCAGGACGGCGAAAGACGCGAAATGCTGTGAGATATCCCATCGTGAGGACAGGGCTTGAAGTGCCACGTTATAAAACCCAAAGTATATATTATTGTCATCTTACATAATTTTCTCCCACTCAATTAGAATCACCAGTTTTCAACCTCGGCACTCGTTTTGACTTAACCTAATTTCGACTGAACAGGGCGCAGTCGGGGCGGGGCGCGTGCATCGATCGCGCTCCTTGAACGCCACGCCCCCAACTTCTTCACGCGGGCGCGGGGCGGCGAGAGCGGATCGGCGGTTGCGGGCGCGGGTGCGGGGGCGAGTGCGGGCGCGGAGTAGGCTAATACACCTGGCACAATGGGGCGATAAGGAGCTCGGTTGCGCGAGAGCGGGGCGGCGGCGGCCCCGGGCGGCACCCGCCTGGCGCTCTCGGGGCTATGGCGGCGAGGGCGTGGGCGTGGGCGGGGGGCGTAATTGCCGCTGAAGACGCCGGGGGCGGGAGCGGAGGCGGGAGCCGGGGGCGCACAAATCATCCCATTAGAGAGGCCCGCGCGCCGCGCCCTCGGCCCCGCCCCCACCCCCGCAGGTGCGGCGCGCCGCCGCCAGGGGCGCGCGTGCGGTCGCGACCGCGGAGCGGACGAGTCCCGCGGGAGGCGGCTCCGCCCCGCCGCAGCGCGGCCCTCGCGTCGCAGCGCTTGGCTCGTGCGCGCACGGGGACGGCCTGGGAAAATCAAAGGATGCGCACAAATTTGGACGTCATGAAAACGTTTTGTTGTCGTGAATCTTGAATGATGAAGGCATTGTTTGACGACATCTATTAACATACCACAGTAAAGGCGAAATTGCAAAGAAGTGTATTGTTTGCATACTTTTATACAGTGTTAATTATTAATTAATTAATTTATTTCTATATTATTGAGTCCAGATTTATTTTCGACATTAATTTTTATTTGTAGATATTGAAACCAAAAGTACATAAATCAGAAACCATAATTTAGTTAGAAGAATGTTACTAAAATGTTCTCTTAATTTTGAAGATTTTTACATCTCAACAAAATTAATAAGCAATGAAAAACAAATGCACCGCGACAATAGAGATACTTCAAATAATTATTATATACAGTTAAATCTCTTTGTCTCAAATCCAGTTCTTGGATAACAGATAATGAAGATACAATTTTTGATAATTCATGGGCTAATAGGCATTACAAATGTCAAGTTCGACGAAATCCAATTTCCTGACTTTCATATATATCAGCATCTGTTGTTCCAATGTACAACCTCATTTATTTTCTAAAATTTCATTTAACTGAATTGTTTACGAGACACAGACATTCTTTAGACGCGATACTGCGAAACTTCTCTTCGGGTTCTAGAATTATACATTATCTGTACGTGGTTTGTTCATGCGTTCCGGTATTCTTTTATTTTTCCATTTCCATTTCCATTAAATATCCATAACTTATTTCTCAATCTTCATGTCTTCCTTTGTGTTTTCGCGTAAAGGCCAATAGTTATCTCAAAAATCTTATTGGAGAGACCTGAATGCTGCCACGGAGTTTGCTATTCAGTATTCGCTTCCGTAGAGTTTCGTTTCCATAGACAGCTAATGTTTTATACAATTTTACGAGGGTGTCTTTTCTTGCCTTATGGTCCTTTCCTTGTTTTATGTTTCCTTTAATTGTTCGGCATATATGATTAAAACTCTTTTCCTGTCTACATCAACCTTCGTATTATCTATAATTAAAACAAGGACAATAATACAATAACAATACTAATTAATTCATAAATTAAATTAAGTTTCAATCGATCAGAATTTACAAGTATTTAATAAAGTATTTTCATCTTTCTTATAATAGTACATCCTCATTTAAATACCACATAAAAATTAGTACGTAGTTAATTAAAACCATGTTCAAAAGAATATAATTTTTGTTCTACAGACGGAAAACTGCTTTTTAGTCCAGAAGGGCGGGTGCACTAGTGTGCTCGCCGAGAGAACAGCATTCTCGTGTTTTTTTGCGCCCGTGGCGCCGCTGCCTGTAGCGCCGCCTTCACAAGCAGGCAGCCTCCATTTCGTGCGTTCTCTCACCTGCGTCTCCGCACGCGCTCCGTTGCAGGGGCTCCGGTTCATTTCCTCTTTCCTCTTCCATCTGCAAAGGCCGCCTTAGTTCCACCGCTCTTCGCTGAACGCGTACTCGAACCATAGCGGGTTTTTTTGTTTTTGTTTTTGTTTTTGTCTTGCTCGTTTTATAGAATGCGCCTTTCGCCTGACCAGAATACTGTTTCTGCCACCTTCTACGGAAATTATTCTGTTACTGCTCCATATTCATTTGCTTCAGAGTACGTCACAATGGAAATTCGATGTATAAAATCTGCAGTGGAAAAGCGAGTGACAGAATATCGTGAGTAAAGAAGTGATCGAGATGTCGGGGTTCGGCGTTACATGGTATTTAATTTTTTTTCTTCATTATTCCTTCTTAGAGCAATCAATGCCCACTATTTTCCATAAGAAACAATATCTCTGATACAGATAAAACGTATAAGGAAATAGATTTGAAAATCAAAAAAATGCCTGATATAATATTGTAAAAATATCCATATTTACTTTTATTTACTATTTATTTATTATTATACAATTTTTTTATTTACTATTATCGACGGTCCTGTCATATCTATTAGTTAGATTATAACAGCATTTTTTCACAGTTGAACGCACTTCCCAAGAAAAAAAAATGAAGGGAACTCATTAGTTTCTGCGCCCTTTTCGGAGGAGCTTAACTAAACGCCGCGTCAGCGAACCGTAATTCGGCAGCGCTGGCGCATTCGCGTGGTCTGCTCCGGCAACGGTATCGACTGGCTTGGTGTCATCCTTGACCCCTTCCTTCTGGGCCCTTATGCGCCTCATCGCCCGCCACGCCCCGCCCCGCCCCGCCCGCTCGTGCTCGCCCGCCCGCCACGCCCCGCCGCGCCCTGTTTTTGTTCAAGCCCTCGGCCCAATATCTTCTTCACCTTCACTTCCGATGCCATTGTCTTCCGATCGCCACCCACCGCCCCTTACAGCCGCCATTGCCTTCCTTTCACCACGACCCTCTCGCCACCGGTAGCACGGATCACCCCGGTGAGGTTGCAACCTCAAGTTGCAACTAGATCAGGGGTGGCCAACTCCCAACGCACACGGGCCTTTATACGGTTGTGAGCAATTGTTAACCTTCAATACGGTTGTAGGCAATGTTTTCATTACTCGGGTCATCCACACCTAACCTCCCCGTATTGTTGATTTTGGCAGTTAGTACGGCTGCTCTGATCGGGGGAGGGGGTGAATGGAACCATACGTGATATCAGGCCGTACCATGCATAACGCACGATTTCCAATATCTGAATTTACTAAAAATATCCTGAAATCTAAACTTAATTTTTTTTACATTAACGAAGTGTTGAACCCCTCGAGGCGCGTGCGCTAGGAACACAATGTTCTCCCTCGACATAAATGAAAGGATCTTTCTCTAATAATTTTTCGGAGGCCACAATAAAAGGCGCCGCGGGCCGCATGCGGGTCGCCAGTTGGACATCCTTGAACTAGATCTAGAATTTAGTTGGAGAAAAGATGCATTATTAAATATATTAAAATGAATGTTTATTCGTATTTTATGCGCTGCTGTACCGTTCATCCGTTTGTGACAAAACGTCAACTTATAGCTTGCTTATGCGCGAAGAATATAGGCAATGTATGCCTGTCGTACATAGACGCGAAATGGGGACGTTGTTGATAATTATATGCGTTTATGCTGACTCAAGCGCCCCCCAACAGAAGCTCTATGCAACCCGCCCACAATCAAATATCTTCGCTGCGTATTCTGCCCCTGCGATTGCGAAATATCGTCCGGAATTATCTGAACGTTATACATCGGACAGTCAAATTTTTCCAAGACAGTGTCATAGCGAATGCATGCCTATACGTTGTAATTACGTTTAGGATACTTGAAAACCATGTCCAAACCAGGACATAGAACAAACCCATACTCGCGAGATTGTCTTTCATCTACTATTTTTTTGCGGACCGTAGCTTTAAAGGTGATTGTTAATCATGTGACCAGTAGTAACCTAATGCACGTTGCTGTCACCGTTACACACATTACTATTTACACTTTATGGTGAGTGGTTTTCGTTCACTTGTCATATCTGCCACCTTGGATCCAAAATTCGTCTCATGTAATCAATTATCAATAAAAATAATAAAAGTGTCAAGCTGATGTCTACATTCATTGCTATAAACGAAGCTACATAAAGAGCAGTGGCAAATCGGCTTTAGCGTAGGATCCTTGATTACTTTCCGATGTAAGACTATGCCATTTAAAAAAACGTATTTTTTGCCAGTAAAGACATAAACTAGCTGAGCTTTTGATTCTTTATTCACCTTCCCATTAGCTCAAAAAAATCGTCAAAAAGAAATTCACCAAGTCCACGGCGAAATCACAATCCTCCTTCTTTCGGGGAATAATGGAAATTAAAGATAATTTACAGTAAAATAAATTTTCTTTAAAAGAACTAAAAACGTAAAAGAAAAGCCTGTTTTTTTTTGTTTTTTTTTTCAATAATAGAATTTCCATAGAGAACTTAAGTTTTTATGAGTTGTACCTTCCAGACAAGAGGAGAATAGTTGCGAAGGCCATTATCCTTTTTTGAAAACGACAATAACATTAAACAAATACCTATTTTTGGAGTATCATTCTAAATGTTTATGATGTATATGAAATATTTAATAAATAAAATAAGTTACTGGTGGCATAATACGATACGATATGATTCGATACATTGTTCGAGATTAAAGACGATTAACAACAAAAAAACAGAGATAACTTGTAAACTATGTTTTTTAACTTTTGTTTGGGTCAGCCCGCAGCGAGTGTGGTACAATCGTGCGTGATCCTCACTCAGAATGCAGCCCCGTCAATTCCGGTGCCAGCCGATTTGGTATGCATACTAATGGCCATCGGGAGGCAGTTACTCGCGCCGGAAACACTGTCGCTTTCAGAGTTAATCATTTGCTGCTGACCCATCATTCATCGCCACTATACATCACCGCCAACAATGCCACTATACATTCTCCTGCCGCCAGAACGGTCTCCCGTTTCCTACGAGATAGATCAGATCTTTACAACTAAAGACCATAACTACCTACTCTGAGACCTTCGTCTATCTCGTTACTATTGTAGTTCAAATTATTTTATATTTTTTTAAAAAAATTGTACATTATCTATATGTTTATACATATTTAATCTTGCCCCGAAAAGAAATATCACATTCATAGCCCTATAAAAATTTCTTCATTGCATCTGCATATCAACATCATAAGAAGTACACTATGGAGTTTTAGGAACATCCCTAAAATACTTTTCTGGTGTAGACACTCTAAATAAGTAATGATCACATTTCAAGACATACCGATATCTAGGAACAACATTTAAAGTATTTTAAAAAGTGGTTTTTGCAATAAGGCATCTAGATGTCTCTATAAAATCATAGAAATGGCTGATTCATGTTATTGGAACTGAGGAGAATTTGCCCGAGGAAATTGAATGCCGGAACAGAAATGCTTGAACAGAAATTCAGACTGATGCTAAAATCTGCATTAAATAAAAATACCTATTAAAATTTTAAAATATATATTATAAAAACAAAGGAAAAGACAAATAATGTACTATTTCCAACATTAAAATGTGCACCGGTCACGTATGTTGGATTAAAAAGATAATTTCTACGAATAAAAAAATTAAGAGAAAACAGTGAAGATTTTACCACATAAATTTGGCTTCGTTTCAATAGTTCATGAACGTATTTTTTATAAAACAATTAAATGTAAAATAAAATGAAATAAGTGAAATAAAGGAAATTAAGATAAGTTGTTTGTGTATGTTACGTTGTCGGGCTGCTTAGGGAATTATTTCGTCTTTAATAAGCTCTTTAATAGTTTAAGACAGGGTTTTTAGAGTCTAAAAATTGATGTTTTTTCTTTACCAAATCCACTACAAACAACATCACCACAACCACCACCACCTCAGAGAGCAAGAACATCAACAACACAACGACAATAATCACGTACCATTATCATTACCTCCATCGTTGCTCTTTTCTTGTTACTTCTCAGCATTTATTTGTTCTTGTCTAGAACATCCATCCTCAGTTTGTCTTTATATGTACAATATCCAAATACTTCAGTAATGATTTTTTGTCGACCACAATAGAATTGACGACTCCTACTACTGTATACCGCTCTTCGAAGCGTCTCCCCTTTCTAACCCTCCAAACCACCACTGTCGTCTTTCCGGCAACCTTATTTGCCAGACCCACCATCACCACGTCCTCCTCCCCCCATCGAACAAAAAAATGAGGAGCAGATGCTGCAAGAGCGGGGGAGGGGAGGTGGGGAGTCCGATATCGGGTCTCGGGCCGAAGAGGGGCGCCGTCGCTGCGGCCGTGGGGGGGGGGGGGGCCAGTCGCCGCCAATAAGACGCCAACGCCCCCGCCCCGCCCGCCCCGCCTCCGTCCCGCCTCCTCGCTCGCTCCGCTCGCGCAAAGCTCCCAAAGCCCGGGGCAGCCGCCGCGGACCGCCACCGGGGGTGCGACAAACGTCTTCCCCGGAAAATACATTCTGCACCCGCACCTTTCTGAATGTTTAAATGGCTATAATAGTATTATATCGTCTTATAAGCCGCATTTTTAATATTTGTTTTAGAAACTAATGAAGAAGTTTTAAGGTAAATGGCAGTGGTCGTTATAAAGAAATTTGTGTGGCAACATTTGCATTTGGACACGCCGGTTGGTTGGAAACTAGTCCATTTCTTTCCTTTAGCTCTTCTTGAACTCGGGACGTGCAACAAATTACTCAGAAGAATATACTCTGCCGTGTTTCGCTTTGCTATTATCGTGCTATAGCGTCACATTACCTGCACTTTTTACTTGTTATTGGAAGTTGGCCAAGAAGTGATCGTACAGGAATACGTGGTGGAATGAATGCATCTTTCCATGTTTATCCCTTTCTTTTTCGTTAGTTCGTGTAACCGTTTTTTTTTGTTATCCCCATTTATTCCATCAGATTTCTTTCCATTTTCATGTGTACATATTACTCAAATTCAAAGGTGGTAGTTCTCATCCTCCAGCAGATGAAAAAAACATCGTGCAACTGTATAGTGCGAATAAAATGAAAAATATTATGTGTACTTAAGAGATAATTTTAAACATTATCGTGATTCTGTTGAGTTTATATCCAGAAGGCTGACTTGATAGTACCAGTTGCAAGAGGTTTGTAGTTCGTTCACAACTGCAGCCAGTTTTTCTAGACTTGAGTTCCCGCCGTGACAGATATTTGTTTAGAAGCATACTATAAAAACTGAAATACACTCGAGTCCGGTTATAGTGAATTTCTGTAATGTAACATTTTTGCTCACTATATCTAAGGATATCAGAATTAAACAGAATTCCTCCATAACGATTGATTTTATTAATATAAATTGATGTAGCAAAATACAGTAACAGCACGAAGATATCAACATCTTTATTTGTCCTTAAAAAACAATTTATATTCAATTGTTTGCTTCGAACATTTTCATTAGTAATTTCTTTACATTCTTCACAGTCCGTGCTCTCTCCGTTGATTCTACATTGTCCTCTGTGTTTAAATATCGTCATGCAGTCTTGACACTCTTCAATGCCTCTTGCACTGTTGGAATAAATTCCCATTTCTCAAGGCCTCTTTTACTTGCCTAATAATATACGAGTTGCTTTCGGCAGCGGGATGATGTAGGTGGCTAATAAAAATGAACGCTGTTTCGCGCGGTATGGCGGATACTGCCAGGCTGTGGGAGTCGCGTGCTTTCTATCGTCTACGTAGAACAACGCGCTTTGACCTTCGAAATACCCCGTAAACCGCAAAATACCCGCAAGTAACACCAAGCTTGATATTGAAGTAAGCAATCGCGCGTCGCCGCCGCTAGTTGTAACTAACGCAGGAACGGCCTTCGTTTCCGCATTGAAACTAAGTGGTATTCCGACAGTATTGTCGTATTCCCTACCTTCATCCCAGAGGACACTACTTCTATTATGGCGTTTGGTCGAAATTTTTCAAGTCGCCTAGTGTGGCAATGAGGCGATGTGTATTCTTTTCCAGAAGAGAATTAATTTGTAAGACGTTGTGTATCCAACATTCACTTAGCCGAGGTTCAGGTTCACTATAACCGAGTCTTCTTATGCTTATTTGTAATGTAAGTAAATCGGGGCCAGTGACTTATGTTCACTATATCCGAGTTCTCTATAACCGGAGTCGACTGTATGCAATTTTTTTATCCTCCATTGAGTAACACCCGACGTTACTTTGACAACGAACGTGGGCAACGTGAACGGTCAACCGCAGCGGGCTGCCCCGCTGGAAGCGCCTCGCCGAACCGTCCCGAAGCGGTCGGAGTGACTGAAGAAAGGAAGGAGGGACGGTCCTCGGGAAGGTCGAGGCCGACAGGACGGGCGGTGGGGGCGGCGAGGGCCGGAAATTGGCGGGCAGCCGCTTCCTGCGTGCTGC